GGGGAAGGAGCCAGGCTGCAGGCGACCCTGCAGCAGGCCCGGCTCTGGGGGCGCAGGGGGTCCCTGAGCCTCTGTGCGTGTCCGCGGGGGGGTGCCGCCTCGCCCCGACGCCCGCTCGCTCGCTCGCTCGCCCGCTCGCTCGGCGGCACCGGCAGCGATGCATCAGCCACTGCCAGGCTGCAGCAGGGATGCGGCCGCTGCCTTCTTGGCACGCGTCCCGGGTCTCTTCTCGCTCGCAGCCGGCTCGCGGTCCCGTGCCTCTCCCTCTGGCTCTGCGCTGGGGCCTGGCTGGGCCCTGAGCTCGTCCAAGCGCTTTCCCTGGCCAGGAGCGAGCTGCATCCAGCGGGGCCCTGCAGCAGGGACCCCCGGCTCCCGGGCCCAGGGGGTGCAGAGCCTTCCAGCACCTCCTGCTCCCCAGGCCGGGCTCGGGCTGCAGAAGGGGAGGGGCAGGGATGTCCTTGCTGGGGCCTGCCTGCGGAAGGGGAGGCAGGCTCAGCCCTTCGTGGCTCGCCCTCGGTGTCCCCGGGCCCTGCCGAGAGCAGGGCCGTGACACCACGTGTGCTCGCAGGTGTGTGACTCGGACACGGTGCTGGACCCCGCCTGCACGGTGGAGATGCTGCGCATCCTGGAGGACGACCCCCGCGTGGGCGGCGTCGGCGGAGACGTCCAGGTATGGCCCCGGGCAGATGTAGGGCAGATGCGGGGAGCGGCCCCACGGCAGCGTCCCAGGACCAAGGGCTTGGGCCCTGCCACGGGTTCCTGGGCCGCATCGAATCTTCCCTCGCCCCCGCAGCTCCAGGCCGGCGGGCGGAGGGGTGCCCAGGCCCAGAGGGGGAAGGCAGGGGGTCGGCTGCCCGGGCTCTGACAGTGCCTCCCGGCCTCCCGCAGATCCTGAACAAGTACGACTCGTGGATCTCGTTCCTGAGCAGCGTGCGGTACTGGATGGCCTTCAACGTGGAGCGGGCCTGCCAGTCCTACTTCGGCTGCGTGCAGTGCATCAGCGGGCCGCTGGGCATGTACCGCAACGCGCTGCTGCAGCAGTTCCTGGAGGACTGGTACCACCAGACCTTCCTGGGCAGCAAGTGCAGCTTCGGGGACGACCGGCACCTCACCAACCGCGTGCTGAGCCTGGGCTACCGGACCAAGTACACGGCCCGCTCCAAGTGCCTGACGGAGACGCCCACGCGCTACCTGCGCTGGCTCAACCAGCAGACGCGCTGGAGCAAGTCGTACTTCCGGGAGTGGCTGTACAACGCGCTGTGGTTCCACAAGCACCATCTGTGGATGACCTACGAGTCCGTGGTCACCGGCTTCTTCCCCTTCTTCCTCATCGCCACCGTCATCCAGCTCTTCTACCGGGGCCGCGTCTGGAACATCCTCCTCTTCCTCCTCACCGTGCAGCTGGTCGGCATCGTCAAGGCCACCTATGCCTGCTTCCTGCGGGGCAACGCTGAGATGATCTTCATGTCCCTCTACTCCCTGCTCTACATGTCCAGCCTGCTGCCCGCCAAGATGTTCGCCATCGCCACCATCAACAAGTCGGGCTGGGGCACCTCGGGCCGCAAGACCATCGTGGTCAACTTCATCGGGCTCATCCCCGTCTCGGTGTGGGTGGCCGTGCTGCTGGGGGGCCTGGCTTACACCGCCTACAGCCAGGACCTGTTCAGCGAGACGGAGCTGGCCTTCCTCATCTCGGGTGCCGTCCTCTACGCCTGCTACTGGGTGGTGCTGCTCATGCTCTACCTGGCCATCGTGGCCCGGCGCTGCGGGAAGCGGCCGGAGCAGTACGGGCTGGCCTTCGCCGAGG